TTTGGTATTATCAACTTTTCAGATGATTTATAACTCATGATGTCTGCGTGCAAATTTCACATGACTTCTTCTTACTCATAATTTTCATTTGTTACTATATCTGAGGGTGTAATTTTCTCCAACGACTGTAACTGCATGTAACAGTTCCGGTCCTGATGATGGTCTCTATGCAGGCTGTCAATTGACAGAAATTATATATGAGAGCAATCGCCAAGGTTGGCTGTATCTCAGGCAGAGACGGTGTGGCACCACACCATTCTCCAGACGATCACACAGGTATCTCCCGCCATTGGGTCGTTAGCCCTGCCGCTGGGCCGTTAGCCTTGCTGCGGTGCCTGAAAGCTTTTCTACAAAAATGTCTAAAATAAATAGTTCTTACTCCAATTTTAGGTTATTTAGTGTTGTAGCTTATAGGTTCTTGATACCCAAACCCAGTGCCCATTAATTAAACAAAATAAGTGCAGGAGCAGAACTTAAAGAAATGCTGACGAAAAGCCTCTGGCACTAATTATGGGTTTATTCCAAATACTTACTACTTAACTGGGAGCTTGAATTTGTGTTACTAATCAGATCATGCCAAAACTCTCCAAACTATACACATGAGGAATCGTTCCCATTGCACTAGTATGAGGAGACACTGAGTCTCTACTCACTTCTATGGGTCACGTGAATTAACGGAACACTTTTGAACACCCCGACATTAACTGCAAATGACACATGCAGTAATCAAAAGGACATTGTTTAGAGTTCCAACAGGACATTCGAGCAATATATCATTCGAGCATTGACACCGTAATACACTTATCAATATATCGCTATACTTAAGCAAGTCCCTGGGACAATAGTAAACCACTGAATTAAACAAGTCACTGAGGCAATAATAAACCACTGAATTAAACACGTCACTGAGGCAATAATAAACCACTGAAATAAACACATTCTGAGACAATAATAAATCATTAAAATAAACACGAATATCTAAAACATTAATAAATCACTGCAATAACACGTCACTGAGACTTTAAAAGTGTAGTGCAAGTCAATAAGCTTATCCCTTGACTCAGGTCCAGAGCATTCCTACTCAGCTAAGCGTTCCGACACTTGTTGATCACCTCGATTGTTCTGCCCCTCATCTGTTGCAGGTGAAGGAGGTATACTTAACTGGTCAGTTAATCACTGAGATCACCACAAGGCAACTTAAAAAAATAGTATATGCATATATCGTACTTATAGTAGGCCCGGTCCTGACACATCCTCTCGAAATACTTATATCCGTAACAGATAGACAGTGACCATCACCTCAATCCTTCACTTTGTTCATGGACGTTTTAGATTCAACCCGATTCAACAGTCAGTTGCACGTGGTAGCGCTCACATGGATATATCTTTCTCTACAACAGCACTCACTATCACGACTTAGAATCAAACAAATTACACGTATCGTGATTCTGGGGACGAAAGGCAGTTAACATGAATGCAAAGGAGTGAGTAACCAACAGGAAGAGTTTGTGGATATTAATGGACACTAAATTGGCCGTGTTAATTACGATGTAGTCTCGTTCAAGGTCAGCTCCCAGGTCAAAATGAAGTTTGGTGTAGCTAAGTAAGTTTGCTAAGTAAGTGTCCCTTTGTCTAACGGTCTGGTAAACGAATCAACCAATAGCAAGCAAAAGGAGATGCCTAAAACAATGGCAATCCAGTACACAAGTCAACTTGGTCGCATGCTGTCATAGAAAAGTAATCACGGAGGTTAGAGACCTGACTTCCATGACTGTGTGAACTGACCATTCTCTTTTGGGTGCACAATACTGCTCTCTTACTTCCCCCCCCCTCTCTCTCTCTCTCTCTCTCTCTCTCTCTCTCTCTCTCTCTCTCTCTCTCTCTCTCTCTCTCTCTCTCTCTCTCTCTCTCTCTCTCTCTCTCTCTCTCTCTCTCTCTCTCTCTCTCTCTCTCTCTCTCTCTCTCTCTCTCTCTCTCTCTCTCTCTCTCTCTCTCTCTCTCTCTCTCTCAAACTGACTGACTCTCATTAGTTGGTGTTAACCTTGCTAAAAATTTCCAGCGACCCAGAAACATGTTACTACATATCTCACCGGCAGCTATCCTAACTCTCTACTCCTTTACCAGTTACCCGTCTCCTTTACCATAGACATTATATCTAAAATTCAATCGCCTAAAACCAAAGCTGAGAACAAAAATGACATACCATCTATGGTTTATAAGAGTGCTGCCCCTGCTCTTGCACTACCCATAGCTCTATTATTGAACATATCTCTAAAGTGTCATACTTTTCCTGATAGTCTTAAAAAAACAAGAGTGACGCTAGTTCATAAAGGAGGCGAGACAGCTGACATAAATAATTATAAACCAATATAAAATCTACCTATATTTTCAAAAATATTTTAAAAAATTATATACTAACAAATATATTCTCACTTTGTAAAACTCAACATATTAAGTCCCTGCCAGTTTGGATTCCGTTCCCAAAAGAGGACCAATGATGCCATTATTAGTCTGCTTAAAATAATCTTTACAGCCCTTGGCAAAAATAAGTTCCCAATTGGCCTCTTCATTGACCTGAGAAAGGCCTTTGAGACTGAAAACCATAAATATCTCTTACTTAAACTTCACCATTATGGTAAACGAGGCCTTGCTCGGAACTATATCCGTTCCTATCTCAGTGACAGACACCAATATAAAGCCATCAATAAAATAACCTCCCCCACTCTACCACTAATAGTAGGAGTGCCACAGGGCAGTATTTTAGGACCTCTTCTATTTCTTATATATACCAATTACTTGCCAAATGTTTCTAACATTCCTAAACCTGTACTATATGCTGACGATACTACCTTCATCTATTCTCACCTTAACCCCCACAAACTAAATAATAGTGTCAATGATGAATTAAAAAAAGTCCACTTATGGATTTTAACCAACAAACTCACACTAAATATAGAAAAGACTTACTACATTTTATTTGGTAATAAATCATCACGTAAAATTCAACTTCAGATAGACAACGTTAACATTAGCAATAAAAATATAGACCTATAATATAGGTCATTGGCCTATATATAGACAAGGGACTGAACTTCAGCTCCCACAAACAACACATAGTCAAAAAAGTCTATAAAACGGCCAGTACAATTGTTAAAATCAGATAATATGTTCCCCATTCTGCACTCCTCTCATTAAACTAGGCGCTAATATATCCCTATCTTACATACGGAATCTGCGCATGGGGGTTCAACCACTGCAAATTACCTCAAGTCCAACATTACTCAGCAAAAATCTGCTATCAGAACTATAACAAACTCCGTCTTCAAACAACACACAATCCCTCTGTTTAAGTCCCTTAACATGCTAAGACATACATTCTCTCCGCACATTCTCATGTGCTACTTACATGTACAAAATCTTGTTCCTAAATGCCAATCCTGATCTGAAACCTTGCCTTGATAAGTGTAATAGAATCCATGAGCACTATACCAGAAATAAGTATATCTCTAATATTCCCAGATTGAAACAAAATCTGTGAAAACACTCCATACAATTAAAAGGACCCAGTCTATGGAACTCACTCTCTGATGAATTAAACAATTATCCAACCTATGTCTTATTCAAACGTTAAATAAAAATATACATAATTTCATTCCTCATAGTTTCCTACCTTGTGGTTCAAACTCACACTGTGTCTTGTTCTAGCCACTTCCTCAGTATTAGTTCTTTAGACATTTTCTTACCAGTATAATCACCTCGGTAAATTTATATTGTAGGTATTTGTTGATATTAATTAAATCTTGCTATAATGTACCTTTTTATCTTCCCTAATATGTTAGATTAATGATCTCCCCGAAACGCTATGCGTGTTAGTGGCTTTGAAAGAATGTACAAAAACCAATGTTATGTAATCTCACTAACCCACTGTTTCTTCTTGTGAATAAATTATTATAAATTATTATTATTATTATTATTATTATTATTATTATTATTATTATTATTGTTATTATTATTATCATTATTATTATTATTATTATTATTATTATTATTATTATTATTATTATTATTATTATTGTTATTATTATTATCATTATTTTTATTATTATTATTATTATTATTATTATTATTATTATTATTATTATTATTATTATTATTATTATTATTATTATTATAGATTGCACAACGCCGAGTTCCAATGACGACTTGTATAATCCACTAGTTTATCGGAGACTGGGAATGTAACGACTCCTGGAATATCATGGGCGTAGCCAGCCATAGATCTAGCCATAATAACCAACATGGCAGAACTAGGTCCCAGACGAGAGGATTCTGGACTATGCACCAATGCAGTGAGATTCCATCCTGAATTACATTACATATCATCATGCACTCACTTGCAAGATGTACTCACTTGCTCAACTTAAGACAGTTGTGAAATTCCATTTTCTCACACTTACCCATAACTTCTCCTTACTGATAACCATACATTCATCTTGTATGGTTAATCGCATGACTTTTGATAACTCATAACTTCTATCATTCATGTAACTCTAGAATGTTTAACATCGATATTCCTTCTGTTATTTCTGCATCGTCTTGCAACATTTTACAATCTTCTACTTTTACCAGACTGTCACTTAATTTAATCCTTTCATCATCTTCCTCTAATGTATCGTTTTGTTACATCACCCACCTGTTATCATCACCTACTTTCTCCATTCCTTGTTTCCTCCCTTGCTTAATCCCTTCCTTCTCTTATGCCAAGGGTATCCCAACATATATTTTGTAGGTCAGACAGGCCCAGTGTAATAAGGAGGCAGGCGGTAGTACAAGTCGCTGTACCCTAGATGTAGTTTGTTCTCAATAATAAGGCGTCAATGATCGTCACTCAATAGCAATACATCAGCAGAAACTATTCGCTAACATATGCCTGACTGCGTTTCTTCTACCTCTCATTACTATATTCCTTCCTTCCTTGCAGCATCCGAAGCCTGAGGGAGATGGGAATCCTGGACTATCTGATGATGAGGTCGTTGCCTTATGCTGCCTTCTGCTCGAAGCCTTTCAAATCTTCAGAAGCCGCCAGCTCCCAGGACTCAAGGGCACTGGAACTGGCCGACTTCTATGGTGTCTTCGCTGTCTACGCCGTTGGTGAGGAGGCCAATAAAATAATGTGAAAATCCGGTGGTGTTATAGATCAAAGAGGTAGGAGGAAAGTGATAAATAGTGGTAGTATGACATACACGGGAAGTGTTTAAAAGAAAATATTAATAATGGCAAACTTGGAATTGAAATATACTGACCTGATACCAGATACCAATAGGAGGCTAGAAAATAATTGTAAATATTGAATGAGAGAGAGAGAGAGAGAGAGAGAGAGAGAGAGAGAGAGAGAGAGAGAGAGAGAGAGAGAGAGAGAGAGAGAGAGAGAGAGAGAGAGACACGATGCGAGAGAGAATAAATAAGAGAAAAAGTATGGGAGAGAAAAATGATGAAAGAGAAAGATATGAGGTTAGAAATGGAGCCGAGTCGGGGCTGGGGCCCCAGAGGGGCCCCAATGGGCCTGACAGCTGAGTGGACAGCGCTTCGGATTCGAAGTCCTGAGGTTCCGGGTTTGATTACCGGTGAAGGCGGAAACAAATGGGCAGAGTTTCTTTCACCCTGATGTTCCTGTTACCTAGCAGTAAATGGGTACCTAGGCGTTAGACAGTTGCTACGGGCTGCTTTCTGGGGCTGTGAAATAATAAGGAGACCGGGCCGCGGGGACGCCAAGCCCCGAAAGAATCTCAAGATACCCTCAAGAGAGTACTTATGAAAGATACAGTTTTGAAAGGCCTATCAATGAAACACAGACTCAGGAGAAAGCGACTAGGATAAAACTTCATAAATTATTTTTTAGTAAAATGAAAATTAAAAAACTAAATATGTTAGCATATATGATTGCACTTTAAAAAATATGAAATTTATTATTGCTTGATTATTTATGTGTTGGCACTGGAGAAGTTCAGCGCCCCAACCATTGCAAGACTGTACATCAGTATATTGAAAAGTTCTTTTTAGAGAATTTCACATATCCGTGAACCAAGCCGTACTAAGTAGCCGTGTCACCGTATCACAACCTCATAATAGAGGCTGAGACATGCGTGTACTTGTGTTGTCCAACTTTTTCCCACCAAATATCTTGTTGCATTTTCCTGCCCACTTGATGCCAGTTATGTAGGAATCCGGGTTGTATGACTTTTACAAGTCAGCGGTGATCTGGTGGTTGAGTCCGCGACTGGCAATGCCTTAGTCACAGGTTTGCGCCCACCTTATGGGCCTAGTGGATTTTCACATCAATATAATACATCTTATCATCCAGAATTCTGGGTCACTTGACATCATTTTATGGGAGAAATCTCCACATTACATCATAATTATTCATTATATAATTGTGGGTGCTTCCTCATACAAGTATAGAATCAAATAAATATCCATAGAAAATACTGCTTCACTTTGCACACACTTTTTATGCTAGGAAAACAGGACTCTCTCTATGTCTAAATAATACTCAAAGTGTATACACAGGCCAAGATTCAACGAGCATTTACGAACACGTCCATCTTTCCTAAATCTTTGGCGGCTTTGATTACATTTATTAAACAGTTTACCAGCATGGAAATTTTCAAATCGAATGGTATTATTGTTAACAACATCCTCCTAGTGCTTCGGATCTCGTCAATTTTTAAAAATGTTAACAACGCCGCCAACGATTGAGAAAAGAGGTTCAGGGTAGTAAAGTACTTGGATAACTGCTTAATAAATGTGGCCCAAGGTCTCTAAGTACAAATGATTTGTCTCAGAGTTCAGCAAATGTCTTAGCTGATATATCTAGGCCCAGATTCACGAAAGCACTTATGCAAGCACTTACGAACGTGTACATCTTTCCTCAATCTTTGACGGCTTTGGTTACATTTATTAAACAGTTTTCAAGCTTGAAAACTTCCTATTCAACTGTTGTTATTGTTATAAACAGCCTCCTGGTACTTCGGAGCTCATTAACTGTTTAATAATTGGAAACACAGCCGCTAAAGATTGAGAAAAGATGAACAGGTTCGTAAGTGCTTGCGTAACTGCTTCGTGAATCTGGCCCCTGGGCTGTGAGAAGACATTATTCACCAAGGACCTTCCGACACGTACGACAACCACCATTTTAGACTTTCCGACACGTACGACCCACCATCTTGGATCTTCCGACACGTACGACAACCACCATCTTGGACCTTCCGACACGTACGACAACCACTATCTTGGGCCTTCTGACACGTACGACAACCATTATCTTGGACCTTCCGATAAGGACGACAACCACCATCTTGGGCCTTCCGACACATGCGACAACCACCATCTTGGACCTTCCGACACATACGACAACCACCATCTTGGACCTTCCGACACGTACGACAACAACCATCTTGGACCTTCCGACACGTACGACAACCACCATCTTGGGCCTTCCGACACGTACGACAACCACCATCTTGGACCTTCCGACACGTACGACAACCACCATCTTGGACCTGCCGATAAGGACGACAACCACCATCTTGGGCCTTCCGACACATACGACAACCACCATCTTGGGCCTTCCGACACGTACGACAACCACCATCTTGGACCTAGGTCCTATCGTACGCCCCGTGATACTGTGTGTCCAGCACGCCCCGTGATACTGTGTGTCCAGCACGCCCCGTGATACTGTGTGTCCAGCACGCCCCGTGATACTGTGTGTCCAGCACGCCCCGTGATACTGTGTGTCCAGCACGCCCCGTGATACTGTGTGTCCAGCACGCCCCGTGATACTGTGTGTCCAGCACGCCCCGTGATACTGTGTGTCCAGCAACATACGCCCCGTGATACTGTGTGTCCAGCAACATACGCCCCGTGATACTGTGTGTCCAGCACGCCCCGTGATACTGTGTGTCCAGCACGCCCCGTGATACTGTGTGTCCAGCACGCCCCGTGATACTATGTTTCCAGCCAGTTTCTGGAAAGTCCCTAAATATGCATCCACAATAATCTAGTTGAAGCAAATATATAAGGAGTCCACTTTTCATTAACAAAAAATTGTCAAGTTATCTATAAGTTACTAAAAATCATGACATACATGACGGGACTACTTGGCTGGGCGGAGAGATTATAGCGACCCTTAGGCGACCAGCTGTGAGAGCTGAAAAGATTACAGAATTTACTCCTTTGACATTTGTAAGAGAGGCCATATGCAATAACCCATGTTAGTATATGACAGGTTCACCACTGAGGCAAGAGGATATATTTGAGCCTGTTTATTGCAGGTTGAGCACTTAGTACACTAAGCGAAATTTACATTAATATATACTCATTATTAATGTGTATTATTTAACCTGAGGTTGATCAGAGTTCATGGGCAAATTACAATATCGTTCAGTCTGCTGCTCTCTGTAATCTGAGTGGTTTGTTGCCCTAAGATTTTTTGTTTGGGTTAGGTAGTGTTTTACTAGGAATAATATTTGTTTCAAATTATAGGGAGAAACTATTAGTAACATGTTCTGGTATATTTACAGGTCTTCTGTTGGCCTCCCTTGCCTTTCTTATTGAGGTGATCAGTGTCAAGATGAAGAAATGATGTCTCGGTGATAGCTCACTGGATTTCAATTTCCACCACACCCACGTTTGTCTTATAAATGCCCACTTCACCATCCCACCAGCTACACCAAGACCATCCTAGCCATTCCAGTCACCACAATCCAACCCGTTCTCGCAAATTTAATAAGTCAATATTGACTTATTAAATATGTGCAAGGGTGACATACTTAACATAATAGTTTCCCTTGAAAAGCTTCATAGAAAACACCGACCTTACCTAACCTACTTAGTATGTTAAGATAAGTATGTTATTGCTTTGTAATTACAATTATTACCTAACCTATACCTATAATAGGTTAAGTAACAATTGTAATTACGAAGCAATAAGATGCTTATTTTAACATACTAAGTAGGTTAGGTAAGGTCGGTGTTTTCTATGAAGCTTTTCAAGGGAAACAATTATGTTTAGTATGTCACCTATGCACGCAACTAATAAGTCAATATTGACTTATTAAATTTGCGAGAACGGGTTGCACAATCACACCCACTCGCCAATCACCAACTATAACACCCGCATGATCATGCTCTTAAAGATGCACGACAGGTTCTCGACAGAAAAGAATTCAGTTGTGTTGAACTAGGGATACTATCATCTTTAGAAAAATCAAAAGCCATGTGCTTTGTAAGCGTGACTTTCAAATGAACTTTACGGTACAAAATTCAGAGTAGGAATGGGTAGCAGAATACTAATATCTATAAATATTTACAGAATACAAGTGGATGAGAAGCAAGCAATTATGCTTTGAATTTTTTTTGGACTCCTTAAAACAAAAATCCAGGCCACTAACAGCCTCTCTAGGAAACAAGATTTTCAAAACAAGTACCGGAACTGCTACCAGAAAAGCCTCGCAGGAGTTAAACAAGATCGAAACCTGTTTCAGAAAAATATAACGTGGATGACTCTATGCTTCAATCAAGAGTATTTAGCACAATCAGGGATATAACACGCTGAAGCAAAAGACAAAACTTACACTGGAGGCGACTCCAGTCTCGGAGCTCTGAACGAGCTTCTCAAAATCAAGGAATGAAATAAATCGCCCACATCACCTCGAAGCCGAAGCCCGAGTTTCAATGACTCGGCAGACGAATCGATCCCATTACATGCTTTCCAGAAGGATCTATAGATCAACAGTCCAGCAGCAGCTTTCTATTCACTTGCATATTGAATGAGAAAATGATTGAAAAAATCGTACAAACTTCAGACGGAGAAGAGTCACCCTTACCACACATGTCAACTATAATAATATTACGGTGATTAACACGGAATCTAAAACAGCATTTTCAAGATCTAAAGCGCCTTAAGGCATCAAACAATGTAAATTTAGTAGTTACAATCCTCCTCCACATCCAGAACATTCAGCAACAATGATAAAGTTATAATGCATACAAACTAGCCAGAGAAGGAAACGTAAAATGCCATAGATGCTGCAGACAGTAGAGAGATTAACGACGTACCACGTCCCCTCCATTTTGAATAGAGTGGTTTCGAACACGTCGAAAGTTGAGATAACGATGCGGGAACGTTTGGGGCAACATAGGGTGGCTGGAGGGGACGTGTTGCCAGATGTACGATAAATATAGCAAAAGTAGTGTTCGAGTGAGGTGTGTATTGTTATGTATAGGTCATGAGAACGTAGTAAGTTTTTTTTTTTTTTTAGGTGAAATGTAACGTTTTCTGTTGAATTTTTTGGAAACAATACATTTTTTGTTGAAATGAGAGGATGAGATAGGTAGATGGAGAAGTGGGAGGAGAGTGAAGTCTGAAGATGCAGGTGAGTAGGTGAAAGGGTCATAAAGATTGTAAGCTCTGCCCCCAAACTTTTTTGACAGAGAGAGAGAGAGATCATGTTTAGGAGCAGACGTGATGCGGAGAGTGGTAAGAAGAAGAAAGATGGGAGGAGGAGGAGAACAATATAGAATACAGGAAGAATTAGGATTAAATAGGGAAAGAGTAAAGGAAGTAGCAGGAGGAGGGAGGGGGATTAACAGAACCTGAAGGAAGGGCAGCAGCAGGAGCAAGGGAGAGTAAAGGAGGCAAGAGGAGGAGGAGGAAGCAGCAGCAGGAGGGAGCCATAACAAACCTGCAGGAGGCGCAGCAAGAGGAGGAGGAGCAGGGGGGAGAGGGGGAAGAGGGGAGGAGGAGGAGATGGATGTATAATAAAACACAAACGCACACACACACTCACATACACACACACACTCAACCTGAAGGAATAGGTCTACCATGGGATAAGAAGGATTTTAACAGTAAAATAATGTAAACTTAAGTAAGCATCGCGTAGTGGAGCTGCGTAATGAGGTGTATCTCTGACAAGGGCAAATAAATACTGATCGAAAGATTGTCCGCCCGCCGGGTATAGGCGTTTATCAGCCCTCGCCTCCATAAATAGTTAACCGCAGAATGGCCCTTACCTTTGTCTGAGCCAGACACTCACGCTTGGCGGGGGGGGGGGGGGTGGATAGAGCGAGTCACTTGAGGGGGAATGTATATAATATATATATATACATATATATATATATATACAAATATATATATACATATATATATATATATATATACTGGTGTATACTGGCAGCAGGTTTTCTTTCAAACATGTTTCATTGAATATGACCGCATAGTCTGTATTTATTATTTTCTGGTTTAGGGCTTCTATCCCTCTAACTATTTTCTTAGCATCAGGGCTTAATTGAAATAGGAGTTCTCCAACACTCATTTTCGTACTTTTAAGGTGAAAATTATACAAATAAGTGTAATACACTCTATAGTAAATCACTTCTTTTCTTCACCTAAAAGTACGAAAATGAGTTTTGGAGAACTCCTATTTCAATTAAGCCCTGATGCTAAGAAAATAGTTAGAGGGATATATATATATATATATTATTAAATATGACCGAAAAGTAAGATTAATAATTCTAACACGAATTTTCTCAATATTTCTTATATTTCTTTTCACTGTTGATGGTAATTGAAAAATCAATTCTCCAAAATTCATTTTTATTTCTAGTCTGACGCGACACTTGAACGCGTTTCGTAATAACTTATTACATTTTCAAAGACTTTAGTTTACACACACACAACTAACTATAACTAAACAGAGTTTAAACATCTTCGATTTTATACCTGCATTTGGGTGAGGTGATATGTTACAACAGTTTTGGATGAGGTGAAAACAAACTTTCAACACAAGACAGAACACGAAACAATGGGTATAATATTTTGTAAGTTAAAGGGAAGAATGGAAGTAACTGCAAAGGGCCTATTGGCCCATATTTCTTGATGCTTCTATATTGGTGCAGAGTCTTGAAGTGGGTAGAATATAGTTGTGCATTAATTGGCTGTTGATTGCTGGTGTCGACTTCTTAATGTGTAGTGCCTCGCAGATATCTAGCCGCCTGCTATTGCTGTATCTATCGATGATTTCCGTGTTTTTTGTTAAGACTTCTCTGGTGATGGTCTGGTTGTGGGAAGAGATTATATGTTCCTTAATGGAGCCCTGTTGCTTATGCATCGTTAATCGCCTGGAAAGAGATGTTGTTGTCTTGCCTATATACTGAATTCTTTGAGGCTTACAGTCCCCAAGTGGGCATTTGAAGGTATAGACGACATTGGTCTCTTTTAAAGCGTTCTGCTTTGTGTCTGGAGAGTTTCTCATGAGTAGGTTGGCCGTTTTCTTGGTTTTATAGTAGATCGTCAATTGTATCTTCTGATTTTTGTCTGTAGGGATAACGTTTCTATTAACAATATCTTTCAGGACCCTTTCCTCCGTTTTATGAGCTGTGGAAAAGAAGTTCCTGTAAAATAGTCTAATAGGGGGTACAGGTGTTGTGTTAGTTGTCTCTTCAGAGGTTGCATGGCGTTTCACCTTCCTTCTTATGATGTCTTCAACGAAACCATTGGAGAAGCCGTTGTTGAATAGGACCTGCCTTACCCTACAGAGTTCTTCATCGACTTGCTTCCATCCTGAGCTGTGGCTGAGAGCACGGTCGACATAAGCGTTAACGACAC